CGGATTACTGGTGTACCTATTTACCTCTTGGCAACACAGCTCAATAAACATCGTATAGTGATTATGATTGTGGGGATACTCCAAACACGATATTGATATATGTACATGCACACATACATAAATACTCGTAATCAGCTGTCCATGCCGTTAACAAATAGTGGTGCGCACCACTTTTGCCCCTGTGGTAGAATCGCTTACCTCATCAACACGTTTTAAATTTTCGCACCATCGCACAAAGCGAGCAAACGTGAATTGCAAATGACAGTCAAAATAAAGCAAAGAAAAAAAAACTTACGTATATGCATACATAATACAAAACATGTTTATTGCTTAAGCTATAGCGCCTGCCGACTTCATCATTTGCGCGGCCTGCGCGGCTCAGACGCAGCTCAACTCAAGCCAATGGAACATTTTTCAAACCACTTTTGTACGAGAAAGTCCAATGTCTGTTAGCCAGCGCGTGAAAGCAGCGTTAATATTTATGTTTTAACAAAATTTGAATGTACACGCGTATATTTTTCGAAATACCTATCTGTGAAAGCGGGAATTAAAAAAATGAAGTACGGATACTAAACGGAAAAATATTGATTTAAGTAAGAAATATCTGAACTGTTATCGCAAAAGATGAATCACTCAAAAACCGGCCGTTGACAGCGATATCGTGTTAAATGAAATTGCAAACTAATACAACAACTATATGTATATGTACATAAAAGTATAAGTGACAACAATACAATCGAATCACCCAAGTTCTGGGCAAGATGATACTCATCTCAACGCTAATCGGCAATTGGGAAAAGCTAACTGTCAGCAGTCATGCCAATTTGGCGGTGCTGATGTTTCTCTTTATGGTTTGCGCTTTTGAGGTGGTTTTGTTGAAGCTAACCACTATCGGTTCCAGCACAGCTAACGGCTTTGGACGCAGTAACACAGCGGATGATGACTCGAGTGAATACGAGGAGGATATTTACTATGAAGACTTGCGTAACAATTACGAACACTGGGCGCGAAGACGAATGCGCTACCGGCATCGAGTGCAGCGGCAGGAACAGGAAATGCTGCGCCGATTTCGTGAGCAAGAGCAGCAGCGACAGCGAAATCAAGGGAGCATTTGTTAAATATGCGCTAAATATTTGCGGAGGAGGCAATCAAAGTCTACATAATGCCGCCCCAGGGCAAGAGCGAAAAGATGAGCAACTGTGGGTGCAGTGTCGGCGAAGAATGTGCAAAAATGTGACTGAGAAACTATTATACATATACATACGTACATACATACATACATATGTATGTATGCATACACTATAAGAAAACTATTTGCTAAAATAAAGTTATAAATCCATAGTATGTACGAATATTGGCATGCATTTTTATGTCCAGAAATTTTTTTTTTTGTCGTAAGTACCAAAAATCCTATTCTGTTCAGCTACCAAAAATCCGGGTAGGTACATGAAATGTTCGCAAACATAATACATACATAAATTTGATGGCCATTTTACAACATTTTTTTTTTTATTATTCAATCCTGAACGGTTTACCGGCTATCGCGATAAAATTTTGGCGACAGTGATCGAGTATGCTTGCAATGATTTCGTAAGTTGGTTCTATATATCTCGTTAGGTGGCACAGGAATGGATATTTTTGATAGGCAGAGTTCATGCTTCGTTTGTGAGTTTATACCTGCATATGTATGTATGTATGTAATACATATATTTACATACATTTATAAAAATCGTTGCATCATGTGGCCCATTTGTGCCATATTAGTGTACATACTTACAAAATGCTCCTCTGTAATGCCGTAGCGGACCAACTCGTTTCTCTACGCCAGCTTATTGTTACCCGTTTATTGCCCGTATTTTAACGATCGTTATCACTATACGATACGATGTCTATTGGGCTGTGTTGCCAAGAGGTATCTAGGTACTTCATCCCTTGATGTAATGCAGAGATGGAGTATATGGTCGTGCCCTAGGACATCGCAATTCCAATTAGACCACATTTTTATATGCATTTCGGTTAATTTTGGTGGATTCTTTGAGCCTTAGAGAGTAACTACTATTTACATGCCTGCATGGAGTAATAATAATAGATTGGCGCTTACACATTGTGTTTGGCCGAGCTTATCCTCCGATTTGTGGCGTGCGCTTCGATGTTGTCACACACAGGTGAGGGACCTATAGTTTTACGCAGACTCCGAACCTCGATTTTATTTTTATAAGAAACTGTTTTTCATGGGGTAAATACACTCGGTGGTCATTGCCTGCCGAGGGGCGACAGCTATTAGAAAAAAATATTTTTTTTTTGATGTTGGGTTGAACCGGGCTTGAACCCAGGCCCTGCGGAATGGTAGCGCGCACGGCCAACCACCACACCACCGCCTCCGCGCGTACATGGAGTAGCGATTTTTTCAGGGTATGGACCTTCCGCATTAATTTTAACATTAGCATTCGCAATAATCTGTGCGGAGCTTGTGCGAATGTTGTGCAAGTCGTGACTAATCAAGAAATTGTTTATGCACTGATTGTGATCCAATTCGGCTGCCATCACTTTGAAAGCAGAATTTTCTTCGAAATTTTCATCCCTGGAAATTGATAAAAGAATCGATAACAAAATCGATAAATATCGATAACAAAATCGATGAATATCTATAACAAAATCGGTAAATATCAATAACAAAATCGATAAATATCGCTAACAAAGTCGATAAGAATCGATAACAAAATCGATAAATATCGCTAACAAAATCGACGAATATCGATAACAAAATCGGTAAATATCGATAAGAAAATCGATAAATATCGATAACAAAATCGTTAAATATCGATAACAAAACCGATAAAAATATCGATTATTATATCGATAAGTCTCGGGAAACCCGAAAATCTCTAAAATCCCAAAACAGTTCCCAGATTGAGTCTCTGTGTCTCTCTCTCTATCCTTTCCTCTTTAATTACCTTTATTTTAATCTTTCTTCCCTTATCTTCATCTTTACTTTTATCGGTATCCTCATCCTCCTCTTTGTCTTTATTTTTATGTTTATCATTTTCTTCAAATACATATTCCCCTTCACCTTAGCCCTTATATAAGTGAAGTGTTTAAATTTACCTTGGTCTTCATTTTTGCCTATATCTTTACGCATCTTTGTTTTTGTTTTTATATTTACCTTTACCTTTATCCTTTTCTTTATCTATGTAAGTACTCACCTTTACTTTCATTCTTGTATTGGTCTTTTTCTAAGTGTTATTCTTTAACCTTTTATTCGCAAATTTTTGTTAAATTAATACCATATGCATACACACAAGAAGCACTTGTTTCAGTCCCAACCATTTCCGTTGCACCATTCCCATTGCACCATTTCCGTTGCATCATTTCCGTTGTACCATTTCCGTGTGCAATTTCCGTTGAATTTGCCAATTTACTCCCAACCAACCAACCGCCGCTAATTCGATTTCGAAACGAGCCCAAAAAATATATTCGATAAATTTAATTTCTCGAGTTCGTCCCGAATTCGATACGATGCCACCCGCGCTTTTTTGTTTATTGGGTTTCTATTTCTGCAACAACTTCCACATTTAAATTATGCAACACAAGCTGCGATGCAGCTGCTAAGATGCATGCAATGCGAAACTTACGACACAAACTTCAAATGTGGTGCGGGATGTTAAAAACTGTGTTTGTCAATAAAAACAACAAAAACTATTACACAGCTAGCAGCATAACTTTCACATTCGTCTACCATCTACCGAGCGATGTGACTTGCAGACAACCGGTCTTTGAATTTACGTACACTTTTTGGTTTTTTATAAAATATTTCGAAACTGGAAAAAATCATGTACATCAAAAATATTATGTAGATGTTGAAAATAAACTCTAAAGACCTTTCATTCCGTAAAGTTAGTTCCTTAAGTATAAATATATAAAGTAAAGTGATGCAGTGCCTAAGGCCATAAAAAAGTAGTATAATGTCTAACATACATACATATCTTGAAAGTGGTCGCTTATGTTCAGATTATCTCCATCCAAAGTGGTTTCACACGATCAGCCCAATACTTAATACTCCCGGGGAGATCGTTCTCCGAGAATTTGCTTCCCCCAAAAAAGAAATCCTCCAATAATTAATTCCCAGGGAGTAGCATTTTCCCGAACATTTGGGAGGAGAAAATTTGAATTTCGAAAAACCTATTTGACAATTTTTTGACACCTCAACTCCGACCTTTAATATAAAAAATGGTCAGGGAATTTTTATTATTGATAGGAGGAAAGGGGAAAAAGAGAAAACTCCCAGGGAGTTTCTGTTCAGAATCGGCCTATAGATGCCACTTTTTACATATGGAAAGGCAGCATACCGTGTAAACACGAATAAAACACAAAGTAGAGACAAGGTCATCTGTTGGGTTTATTTCGTTTTCAAAGCTATAAATTTAACAGACAGATACAAATATACTAACGACCAAGGTTAGAGATACGACAAGCCGAAATCAGAGTAAATAACATGAAAAATCGCAGCAGAATATAAAATTCTGTAATAGATTTTTATACATCGTTCGTTTACATACATATATTTAGATATACATATATAATAAAAATACGAAAATTTAGTTAATTATTTTTAAATAACTTATTTATGTCATAAATTAAAAATTACACATGCCTGCGAAATTTAACTGTATTTGCCCCTACCGATAATTATGGACCTCTAGCAATACATCGGTGAAAACTGCATTCAAATCCATGCATTCGTTTTCGAGTGATGCGCGTGCAAACATACAGACAGACAGGCAGACAGACAGACAGGCAGACAAAAATTCTAAAAATGGTTGATTTGGCTGCTGGTGCTCTAATAAAGACCCGCCACATAAATTTTTCTTTAATATCTATAATGTACAGACATCGACCTGTTACAATTTTATTACATATATGTACAGATTACTACAATAAATATGCATACATGTCTGTTGTTTAACATAGTAAAAAGTATATTATTTAATTGTCCATTGCAGCAAAATCGGTGAAAGACGAATTTTTAGGAGGGGATCAAAAAACGAAAATAACTGCAATGTTTGTTCCGGCCAAATCAAACAAGTTGATTCCAACAGGTAAGCAATTGTGTGAGATTATTTCTTCTATATTTTTTTTTGTGGCAACTGCTAATTTGGTTTTGTGTGCCCTTTGCAACTACTAATTGAATGTACATACATATCGCTCGTTCGCTGGAAAACGTGAAAAAATTAAAAATCGGAGAAAACTGGTTTACAATTTTTTTAGCCAGGTTTTTCCATTTGGAAATTAAACAAAAATACATACAATAATTATAATCATAAAATTTAACTCGGAGGTTCCTTATCGCCTGTTAATAAATTGCCTCATGTAAATGCATCTTTAGCTTAGCATTAGAGTATGCTAGTGTGCCAATAGCCCAGCCCGCAGAGAAACGTAAATTTTGGCGACAGTGCGGTCTCGTACAATTCGCCGTATCCGGAAACTTACAGAAACCGACCACAATTTTCGTTCATTTAGGTATCCAAAAACGTTCGACGCGTTCGAATAGATGAAAGCAATAATTGTATGTAAAAGGGTCAAGAAACAAATTGCCATTATTTCGCGTGTGTGTCCAAGGAATTTTGACATTTTTTATACCTCACAGCCTGTTGCCTCACTCTTTCCTCAAGAAATAATGGAACGGGCATATATTTCTGTTGCAAACCTGGGTTGCCCTGTGCTCTTTTTTCACAAAAAACTTTAGAAAACCGTAGTAGAAAGCGTAGCAAATTTCTTAAGAACTGCGTACTGCCTCCAGAAAATTTGACACAAGAAAATTTCTTAGCCATTTCTTGTACGTCATTCTATATGGAGTTTTTGCTTTTCTTGAGAGCTGCATGCTGGCATTTAAGCTGAACATTTGAAAGCATCTATACATCGGCAGTGACTGAAGGTGCAGAGGAGTTTGCCTGTTTGTTAGTTTTCCGAAGGTGCCGGGTTCGAATTCCGTCAGGCGCTTTCTTAATTTTTTATTTTTTTTTTCGATCCATGAAAAAGCATCTGCGAAGTGAGAAGAGCGTATCGAACTAAAATTTCAATCAGACGAATTTCAGAAAACAGCCAAAAGTGTATCCGTTTAAAAACAATTATCGGTACTTGTCTCTACATACATACGTTTCTGCCTCACACTTTAGTGGAAAAACGCATCGTCAAAGTATCCGAAAACGGAATCGGTAAGCGGACAAAAATCCGCATTTCATCCACTCTTTTTCATTTTTCGGATGCATTTTCGGATTTTTTGATGGCTGGGAGCTTTTGCATGCTGTCACGCTCTCATCGTTATGCTCTCGCTTTTAAGGTAAATGCAATGTTTACGCTCTTTGCCGGCTAAATAAATAAGAAATAAAATTTATTTGTGATTTGATTCGTCCACCAAATAAAAAATACATTTTATTTGTGATTTGATTTGCATTGGAAAAAACTCGAAACTGTTTGCGTCACATAAAAAAATATTTTTTTTGGTTGGAAAATCACGAATCAAATTTATTTTTTCGGCAAATCAGCGCTTAGCATTCCAATTTAGATATGGCTGTAATAGTTGTTGGGGAAATACATAGCTTTGCGTATAAAGTATAACCACGACTATGTATGTTTCGAAATCGATGCTTATCTATGCAATGCAATGCTAAGTATGCGTAACACTTAACTGCCTATATATAGCATATCTCAAAAAAAAGTGAATTTTCAGGAGACGCGTTAAAGCTTTCAAATCGACTATAACATAGAAACAAATCTAAATTATTTTCAGTATAATCTCTTGGTATAATGAATAACTCTCCATCATTGACTCAAATGTGCCATTTTTATACCCGAGCGCACTTGTGTACAAGGGTATATTAATTTTGTTCACATAACGGTTGTTTGTAACAGCCAAAACGAATCGAGATAGATATAGACAAATGTATACATAAATGATCAGAATGAAAAGAGAAATCGATTAAGCCATGTCTGTCTGTCCGTCCATCTGTCCGTCTGTCCGTCCGTGTACACGATAACTCGAGCAAAAATTGAGATATCTCAACGAAATATGGTATGTAGGTTTCCATTTATCCAAGGTAGGTTGGTATTGAAAATGGGCGAAATCGGACTGTAACCACGCCCACTTCCCATATAACGGTAATTTCCAGAAATACGAAAACTGCGATATTTTAGTAACTACTGGAGATTATTCACTCAAAATTAATATTTACAATAAGTTTTAGATGAAAAATAAGAATATTATAAATTTTCGGAAAACGGGCGTAGCCACGCCCACTTATGGTTACATGTGTATATCTTGGTAACCGCTGCACCAATTTCTTCCAAACTTGGCACAGTTGTTGGCCTTGGTACAGCATACTAAATGGCGGAAAATTTAAAAAGTCGGACAATAACCACGCCCACATCCCATATAACGGTAATTTAGAGAAATACAAAATCTTCGATAAATCAGTAAATATTAAAAGCTTGCAACAATTCTTTACCAAGAAATACGTTAATGGTAAAATTTTGGAAAACGGGCGTGGCACCGCCCACTTATGATCACATATATGTATATCGGTAACCGTTCTACCAATTTGTACCAAACTCGGTATTTTTATTGTGCTTGCCACATAAAAGCAAAACGTTGAAAATTATTGAAATCGGACTAAAATTACGGCCGCTTTTCATATAACGGTAAATTTCGGAAATGCTTGAAACTTCAATATTTCGAAATTTAAGGACGCTAATTTACTCCAAATTGATACACCCCGGCTTACCATCTAGCGGTAGCTTTCGAAAAGGTTAAAAAACATATATTTAATACTTGCGCCGGGTATTTATTGTTCGGCTCCACCCGAACTTACACTTTCTTACTTGTTTGAGTTGTAATAGTGCTTTTAGTAAATACCCGAAAGCTAATTTAATATTTTTAAGCTATACACAACTTGATATATTCCAAAAGCGACATGCATAGACCTCTGCTAAATTTCATCTAGCCCTCTGATAAACTTTTAACTTTTTCTTATAATTTTAAGCTTTGTCACGTGTTACTTATGCAACAGAAGAATATGTCGTGGTGCGAATTGCTCGATTTGGTTGGCGAAATCGGGACAATGGGAATGCCAATTATGTAACTCCTCGAAGGAGTCGCTAGCACATACTCAGTCTTGGGTTGCCGAGCAAATGAGTTTCAATCATCAGAAGCTTGTTAGTCCTCTGAGAGCGCGAAGTGAAATTTACATACCGATTGGCGATTTTAATGAAAGTTCCATACGTAAGTATATGTAGCAAAAAGCTACAAGCTTTTGTTTCGCGAACAAGTAGATAAAGCACATAAGCAAATATTGAAACTGCATATTTCTAATAGATTTCTACTTAATTGCAGATTTTGAAAGTGTTAGCCAAGTGGGTATGAATCTTGATGTCATCCCCGCCGAGCAAAAGCTTAAAATACGAGAGTATGTGGAGGAAGTGGTGGCCAAGTTGTTGGGTGGTTCACTGGATCAAATACGCGTCAATCAATTGTCGAAAAGTGAGACTTGTAAGTATATGCATGGATTAGAATTGGATTTTTTAGTTCACTCATAGTGCGTTCAGCTCAATGAACTAGCTCTTCTGAGTCTTTGATCGTTCACCTAATTGAACTACAGTTCACCTAATTGAACTAGTTCGGTAGTAGGAGCTGAGTTACAAAACAACAAAAATGTATGTTTTATAACACATATATACATAATAGAATGCAATAACGACACAATCCAGTGGTCTTCATTCATTCGTCTTTCTCCAAAATCACGAAAGGATTTTTATAGAAACTCGGCAGTGTGTTCATTTAATTTTCTTTTATTCAATTTTGCCTTCGAAATGCGAGAAAATTGCGCATCGCTTTTACATCGGAAAGAGAAAGTCTTTTGTTAAACAACAAATCTCAAAGACTCAACAAAAATACTTACTCTATAACGCAAATTACACTAAACGATGTAAAACATTGAAAATTAAATGAAATAAAATGTCTTTTTAGCGCGAATTCCGATTAGCTGTTTATTTATGCCCTTACAACGATATGTGTTGTAAAATTACATTCCCATTTTTATTGGAGTGTTGCCTCAGAAAGCTTTGGTTCACTTTAGTGATCGAACTAATGAACTAGTTCAATTGAAAGATCTGGCTCTTCCGCTCTTTAGTTCAAGTTAGCTCCCCAAGCCTAGTATGTATGTATGTGATTACAGATTATCTGTATTTAGCATAATTTTAAGATAGTTCATACACACACGTCACCGAATTCCGACATACTATAAATATCTTTAGTAAGTATAGTTTAGAAAGAGCGTAACTCACATCTTCGCTGAAATACAAAAAGCCCTAACTAACTAAAAATCCAAAACTCACTTGATTGATTGATTATTGATGCATTTCATCGGATTATAAGTCCCTACATTGTTTTATGCAATAAAAAATTTTAATTAGTTCTGTTTTTTTTTTGCATTGAGCGACGATGTGAGATACGCGTTTACATACTTATACCATACTATGCCTGGTATTCAATACCCTCTGTCTTCAATTTTCACAAAAATCGACACTGATGATATAAGGTCTTGTTAGAAGCATTTACTATTGGTTTACAAAGTTCAAATGTGGTCAGAGTTAAGTCCCAGATGGGTTCTAACATCAGAAAGTTGTTTTTGTGAAAAGTGTAGATAATTAGAGTATTCACACTTTCACATTTTTTTCGTTAACTATATATAAAAATATACTGGATTCTATATAATAAACCATATAAATCAAAGTTCACAACTTTGTGCACAATTTACGAAAATTTTACAAATTTCAAAAAAAAATTATCAAAATTTTAAACTTTTTATTCATAAAATCTACTTTTATATGAAAAAAAATACGCAATACCCTCGAAAAAAGATTTCAATAATCAACGGGATTTTTCAGAATTTTATAACTTCCGCATTATTACCCTAAAATTGAATAGGCTACAAAACTGCATACCTAAGAAGTTTCTAAAAATTCTGAGAAAGCGAACAATTTTAATGGATTTTTTTGAAATTTGTTAAACTTTCTTGAATTGTGCACAAAGTTTAAAATTTTGGCTGTCTGCTATATATTTATTAAATATTAAGGAAAAAAAATTATTACGGAAAACATTGTGAATATTGTAAAAAAGAAAAGTGTGCTATTTACGTACATTTGTGTGTATTTTATTGCTACGCCTAAATGTTTTTAATTATTTGTTTTAATTTGGAAACGCTGAAAGTATCGCTTGAGAGACTGGCCATTGTATACTTTATATTTAGAAGAAAGTTGAATAAAATATTTTCATTTTATTTGTTCCCGAATAAATTACTTACTTCATGAACTACTCAACTCTAATACAAATGAGTTTTCTAATGTATCTCACCTCTCGTTTTAAATATTCACATATGGACATGGACCATACAGACTTACAGCTCTTTGAGCGATATCACTCAAAACTGAGTAACATTTTTATCAACTTGGAAAATGAGTTGAGCAATAAAGCTCTTAATGGAGGTGAGTTTGCTGGTAAAAGTTTTCCAAGAAGCTTTTTAAACCAGTTCTCTATTATAACTATTTAAAGCGTATTTCGAATTTTGATGCTTGCGATCGATTGAGGATGCTTCTAAAGTTATGCATTGCTCCAATGAATAATAAATAGCATGCTTTCGTTAATTGTAAATTAATTGTAAATTAATTAAATGTAGCACTATTCTGATTTGCATGTAATTTACTCGTATTAAACTTGCTGGCTGGCTGGCTGGCTGGCTGGCCGTATATGTAGCCATTAGGTGACACTTCGTATGGCTAAGTATTAATTATACGCCAAGGCAAACCCTCTTTGCTGTGTGATAGGCTGTAATTATTTTGCGGAGTTTTGTTGTGGAAATTCAACTGGGATTTCATACCAAAAGACCTTCATTGTATTATCGCTCGTATCTGCTCTGCCATAAAATTAATAGTAAATAAGTAATAATACATACATACATACTTATGTATATCTAGTAAATTCAGTTAGAACACCATTCAAAACATTTAAAGTAAATCAACCCTTTAGCTCTTTGTGGAACGTTTGAACTATCACACATTGCATATGTACATAGTGGCCATATTTACACACGTACATATGTACATTAGACAATTTCTGCAGCAAAGAAAATATGGAAATTTTCCATTTGGACGTAATGTAGAAACATTCATCTTCGTTGCTTAAGCAGGGATAACACGATTTGTATATTTGTACAGATTTGTACATTTGACAGTTACAGAGTGGGTGAATAACTCAGTGAGAGGGGAGACCAGTATGTTTGCATGTATGTATATAAAAAAATATTTATTGGACCAAAAAGTAGTGGGTCAAGTCTGTGGCCAATGGTAATCAACTATTACCACCTCCGCATGGTTGTAAGCCATGCAGAGTCCGCAGAATGCTCCGGAAGCAGTGTCCGGAGGATGCATCCGACTAGGCAGAGCATACCTTGAAGTGCCATCTTATTGAAACTTAAGAAAGTTCAATTACTTGGCAGTTGAGAAGTGCATGTGCAAAAATTTCCTAAATTGTATAAAGGAAATTTTTGCACATGCAGCAGTACATAGCATGTATTTAGGCGCCTGGTGTTAGCAGACGCGCCTAAACAGTGGGTTTGCTTGGACATTGGAAAATATTGGGCCACTTGCATAAAAAATGAGCTTAAGCTCCGACTCGGTTTTCAGTACAAATTCTTCAGTCTAAGCTCACTCCATCAGTGCAAAAGTTGAGTCTGAGCTTAAGCTCACCTTTTATGCATGAGGCCCATTGTTTCAACTCCCC